TTAATTTTAATTAAGCTCTTCGTATAAGATCTATTCTGTGTGTGATTATTGGGAAAGGATTGGGAAAGGATTAAAATTTTAATTGTGAGGCAGGCAGATAAAATAATATTAGTTGTGTCCCGAAAGAGACATATATATCTGTTAGATATTGCGAAGAAGGAGTACTCGCGCGCGGACCGATGGCTTGTACAGGAACATGCTTTTTGCAGGCGAACTGGCATCTCGAAATTAATGGCTTGGCTAGGTAGCCGGGACGACAGTGTCTCGAAAACAGCGTGCACGTTCAGAGTAGCGTCAGTATCGTGCGCTCGTGTTCACATTTTGCTATTTTTAGACGGCGCTCGAGCTTCCCCATTGCCGTCTCGTCGCCGCTCTTTCTAATCGGGAGGCTCGACCGCTGGTTACTCCAATCGCAACGCGACACGCCTTCCACGGCCAATGTAGTGGTGAGAGGACGATGGTGGTTGCGATACGAATACACACATGAAACAGACGGATAGGTCATTCGTGAGGCATAATAATACGTCACGACGGTCTGGAATTTTGCTACGTAGAGAACCGAGTGTCTCTTTATTGCACATGGTCGTGTATGGATGTGATAGTAGCGGACGTGCATGGTCGCACACGCTTACACGCAACACTTACCCACGCACACATTCGCTATAATCAACCTTTGAAACGGCTTCTGGGATCATAGGCGTCGCCTTTGATCATTAAGAGCGCGATTATTATTTTATCTAAATATTATACATTCGACGCGAATGATGGAAAATGCTAAATATTTTCTGTAAACATGTACAATAGAATCATTGCAAGTTTTTGAAAAGAAGCGATCTTGAAGTATCTTGAAAACCGTTCAAAAAATTGGAGCTTTGCAATTGCAGCTCAAATTCTCGTAAAAAGGCAAAGGAGAAATTTTAAAAACGTTGAGAAATTTTTTATTATTTAGAATTAGCATATATGTTAATTGTGGCATTTAACATTTAGCTGCATTGATAATAAGGAGGAAGAGAAGGACAAATCCAAACATTTGAACAATCCTAACAACTTGACGAATTAGAAATTCAATTTTGCGCCATGAATTTTTAATTCACTTGTCACGAATCTTGCAGTAGTTAGATTAATCAAGAGTGACCATTCTGCGAAATAATAATCTATTTCAAGCTTCGGCATAAAACCAACGAAACTTTCTCTAACATGAAAAGTTACAAAGGAGATTTAAGGACGACCGAAGGTGACATGAAAACACGTTAGGGTCGTTAGGAATTCGGATCGTTTCCAAAGTTTCAATGACTGTGCATTCATCGTCCATGAACTAAATTGTTTCGTTCGTCGTCTGTGCCTTGCATGCGATCAGTTTCATTCAATTTTCTAGTATTTTCTAGTATTAGTACATCCGATGATCTTTGGGAATTGCATTTTGATCGACTGCATTCAGAATCGACTTTCGTCACATTTATAATATAAATATGTATTATATACATGTATGTATGGAATGTAAAAAAATTATTTTATTTGTCGACGAGTCACACACTCTTTGATTTCTTGTTATATATATTGTATACATATGTTTTTCTAGACATTTACATTTGACGTAACGGAAAAATTAACATAAAATATCTGATAAACCATCGGGTCGACTTTACGTCAGTATAGTATATCGTGAACCGTTTTAGCATTGGTAATCTTGTCAGTCGTGCCTCCGTTCGAAGTTCGAGATATGTACTAGAGTTAATGAAATGGATGAATCGTCATGGAAAAATAGGTTCTCTCCGACGTGTGTCCGCCTCATTTATACTTTCCGCCTGACTACGCGTGTTCTTTTGTTTCAATTTGAAAATCGTGAATATACGACATTACATTGTTTTCCGTCCTTGCGGAAATTAGAAACGTAGAAATTAATAGGATTGAATGAATCATTCGAAATAAATAACAGATTTTCAGCCTGGAGGATCAGTGACTTAACTTGTAAATCATCGTAGTTCTCATTTACTCTGCTCGAGTTTCTGCCTACTCATTTAATTTTTTCTAAAAATTTATTTTCTTCTCAGGACTACAAAATATAGCTGAAACTCTTTCTGTCTCACATACCTATTTAATAACGAAATTTTTGAAGGCGACGCTTCCAGAAATGAGATATTCCATATCACAAATACAAATTTTTCTCGACCTGTTGTAATTTAATTCTTGTTTACTGGATTAGCATACTTCAAAACAAATACGCACACACACACACACACGCGCGCGCGCGCGCGCGCGCACACACACACACACACCGTCCTGTGTGCTTTTTCATCGAGAACACTGTACGCTTCCGTTTGCATTAATAATGGATGTTAAGTAACCAACTGTTGAGATTCAGACTCACGCAAATCATCGATAAGTGCTTTTACGTAATGTTTCGTTTTTTCTTTTCTTTTCTTTCTTTTTTTTTAACATTTGCAAGCGCTTGTTTCTATTTGCGAAGCATTCTCAATATTACCATTCCTTATGGTAATTAATGCGACCGAATGCATTGTTATTAATGCGAATGCATGGACTCTGTCCTGTCATACTTTGTACTTTTCAAATCGATGAACGAAAAAAAACGGTAAAAATGCACGCTGGGACAGTTTATTTTGCGCAGTTCAAACAACTTCCTCTGAAAGAAAGAAACTTCCTCACGTTTACACAAAAATCTCCTTTTTTTATATAAGAATAAGTTTGTATGCTAAGACACGTACTGTATGATCGTACATCACGAGACGTTCTGCAAACTTTGGATTTCTCATTTACATCGATATATAAAAACGGGAGATAGCGAAAGACGCGAGTACTTGTCTCTCTACACAATATAACAAGCATTGCAGTTGATCGCAAAATTCAATAGTTATGGAAAGAGGTTTAATGCGATAATTAAATTTATTTGTAGGACATGTCGAGTGTTTTTTTCCATCTAAATCAGATCTTACCGTGCTTGTATCAATTTTTTTAGAATTTATATTACATTACTCGAATGAATAAAAGACGAGAAAATAAAATCATAGAACGAAAAATTCTTCTTGTGTAAGCACTTTAACTTTATTCATATATTTTCTGTATTTTCTTTATGATATTATTTTCAAATCTTGAAGAGGGAAAGAGAAAGAAAGAAAGATAAGGTTGAGAGTTTCATTAAAGCAACCACACTAAGAGTGTTTTTTGACGCCAACCATATTTTTATAGGTATTCTAATGTCATATATAGTTGATTATATGATTGACAGTGCCATACGTATAAGGTTATTATTGCTACATTATAGTAACTATTCCTATGCAAATGAGTATTCTGATTATAATTATACAATCCCATACAATTATAGTATACCAAATATCACTTACTTTTCTCTTAGTGCAGCAAATTATCAACAGTTTGTTTATTTTGTAAGAGGAGTTTAAAGTCCGACGCGAAGGTTGGGGAACGTATAACATTTTTCCTAAATTAAAATCTCGACGTATAGTACAAGATTGAATAGCGAACGTTTACGAAAGTGTCGTGCATTATTGTCGTATGATGCGTGCAAAGTACACTCGACTATTGGAATGTTGACGTCAAAGAAGGCTCGTAATATTGTCAAAAATGCACTGATAAATATTTATGTGAATGTGTGTATATGTAAGCGCAGGCCTGGATACGTGCGTTATGATAATGCGCTTCATTTGCGATTCAATTATGACCATGCAGTTTCTACAATAGCTATTGGTATTTTTGCATGAGAGCAATTTATTTAATTTTACTTACAATTAGTCTAGATATTTACGACAGTACATATTTTTTCGATAACAGCAACATTGTTGATTAATGATTCAATTTGATACAAGTATGGGCGCATGGTGCCGACACTTGTCCAAAATAGAGATGAATTAAAACGAATCAAAAACAATTAACGTTTCTGAGTCTGAATAATTAAATATTGATCTTTGAACCCTCTTTTAACTATACTGATATCATTTTTAAAGACTGCTATCATTTGCATCGAATGTGATACAAGTATGAGAATAGATTCGCTTTGACAAATAATCTACGTGGCTTACGCCATTGCTCCCAGCACACAACCTCTCGCCCGTAAGTCTAATAAAGCATCAGTTTTCCATAGATATATGCCGCACACTTTGCCTTGTACACACACACACACGCGCGCGCGCGCACACACATATATATTATTTATGTGTGTACATACCTACCTACCTAGCAAAGAAATAAAAATCATCGAGTAACACGCATCTATTGTACACGCGGACATTGTACAAGTATGCGTTTACGTACATCTTCCGGGTGAAATTGCGTCGTACACGTGCGTTACGTACGCTCGCGTGTGTGTCTGTGTGTGTTCGCGCGCGCTTGCCTTCTAGTATAAGAGCGTTAGACGGGGGTACCGACCCAACAGTCTTTGGCACGTGTTCCGCGACACTGGAGAACGATACAACGTCGAGATATTGTGGTAGACAAACGCGTGCAATTTCTACGGCTATCTCGAGAACGAGAGTCAATCGGTGAAAGTTGAAATTGCGTAATTGCGTGTGTGCGTATAATAAATCTGTGTGTGTCAGAGCAAGCAAAGCCCTCAGAATGACGGTAAAATCGACTGACTTTGAGATGTCTTATATGAAAAGAGCAGCGGTATGCACTCATATATATTATAATATTCTTAAATAAAAATAAAAACAAGCAAACGGATAATTTCTCTTGTAGGGTAGATACTTGAGCATTTTAGAGTAAATTTTTTGCATTTTGATTAAAAAAGATACACAGGATTACATTTATTTCTGAAAATAATACTAAAATATTATAATACTTTTAGTATAGGAAAGAACAAACAGGTGGAGGAATATTAAATCGAGAAAAAAAAATTTGCTTCCATGAAATTGAACAAGTTTCTTTTTGGATTAGATTGAGAATATCCTGTATGTTGCACACTGCAATTAATTAACCGAAAGATGTACGGGATTATTTATAAGATTTATGAAATGTTTTTACAAGATCCTCTTTTTTTATCTTGCTGCTCGTGCTGCAGATACTATTGTAGGTTCTTTCGATTCTTTGATTCTCAATATCGAAACTGAAAATGTATCGCATTATACTTCCCTATTACATATTCATCGCTTTATTAAAATGCCATATGCCGTTTTATCGGCATTATATCTGCATTGCAAGATATCTACATTGCAAGAAAGTATAACGATGTCATGCATTTTCAATGATCATTTCAAGGATGCCAAATGAATACCCTAAAATTATTTGGGACAAAACTATCTGCCAAAATGTTTAACGTATGAATTTAATATATATCTTCGGATATATAAATATGACAAATGACACATTGAATTTCAATTTTATCTATAAATTTGGAAAATAATTATTTTCTATTACTCGAAAGAGATGTCCTTCCATAATATAATTTGGTGGTAACAGTTTCCATTGTGATTTTTCTGATCGTAGGGTCTCAACGGCCGGCTAGCGTTTGCCATCGCGGCGGCCGCTCTCGGTTCATCGTTTCAACATGGGTACAACACCGGTGTGGTTAATGCGCCACAACAGGTAAGAGTTTATCTATTAATCCAATCGCATAAAAGATGCTATGTATTGAAACTTGTATTCATCTCATTTTTAGTAACAGTCAAAACTGTTACGTTTAATTTTTTTTCTTTTATATTAAGACTATAAAAACTAAATTGTTAAATGAATGTTTCAATGTTTACCAGCTTATTGAAAATTGGATCAGCGAGTTAAAGATGAATCGCACGGGCGAGCCAACGAGTCAGACGGAGGTGACGATGATCTGGTCGGTGGCGGTATCGATATTCTGCGTCGGTGGAATGATAGGAGGTTCCCTGGTGGGCTGGGTAGCGGATCGTTTCGGCAGAAAGGGTGGTCTACTGTTAAACAACATTCTGGTAGTGTTGACTGTGATCTTTGAGGGTAGCGCCAAAGCAGCCAAGAGTTACGAGATGATAATCGTCGGTAGATTTTTGATTGGTATAAACGCTGGCCTGAACGCCGGCCTGGCGCCGATGTATCTCGCTGAAATCTCGCCCGTGCATCTGCGTGGCGCCGTGGGTACGGTCTATCAGCTGGTCATTACCATCTCAATCCTGGTGTCGCAAATCCTCGGCCTGGAGCAAATTCTTGGTACTGCCGAGCAATGGCCATTGCTATTGTGTTTGACGATCGTGCCGGCCATTTTCCAGATATGCACGCTACCCCTTTGCCCTGAGAGCCCCAAGTACTTGTTGCTCAGCCGCGGCAAGGACATGGACGCGCAAAGAGGTAAGAAAGAATTAAATTCTCTGCAATAGAAGATGACATTATTTTAAAGCGCATTAAAAGGAGAGGTTTTATTTCTGAGAGAAATTAAACGTTTAATCTCTTCAAAGGATTGCCTTCCGCAATTATGTTCCGCGTCGTTCCGTTGTTAAAATAAACTCGAGCTCTGTTTCTTCGAGCTTTGCTCATCGATGATCGTCCGAATCTTTCTCATATAGACGTGTTTCCTTTTTCTCCATAGCGCTGTCTTGGTTGCGCGGCACGATCGAGGTTCATGACGAGATGGAAGAGATGCGTGCGGAATACGAATCGGTGAAACTGATACCAAAGGTCACTGTGCGCGAGCTGTTCGTGAATCCGGCACTTCGCATTCCATTGTTCATCTCCATTATGGTTATGTTCGCCCAACAGCTGTCCGGTATCAACGCTGTTATGTTTTTCTCCACCAAGATCTTCACGATGGCGCAGCTAGACAAAACCGCCGCTCAGAACGCTACGATGGGAGTTGGTGCGATGAACGTCTTTATGACTATTGTCTCACTGATATTGGTAGAGAAGGCTGGCAGGAAAACCTTGCTTTTGATCGGATTCGCCGGCATGTTCGTAGATACCGTTCTGCTCGCCATTTGTCTTGCATTCGCTGTAAGTATTCATATATATATATGCTAGAAAAAATCAAAAATTGATTCTAGCATGTATATGTATACATCAATTTTTTATTTTTTATTCGCATTTTCTAGGGAACCTCGCCAGTAGCAGCATACTTCTCCATCGTTTTCGTCATCATGTTCGTCGTCCTGTTCGCCACCGGACCAGGAAGTATCCCATGGTTCTTGGTGTCCGAGTTGTTTAATCAAGCCGCCCGACCATCCGCCACCTCCATCGCCATCGCCGTCAATTGGACCGCAAACTTTATTGTCAGCATCGGCTTCCTGCCGCTCCAAGAGGCGGTAGGCGCCTATGTGTTCATCATCTTTGCCGCATTGCAGCTGTTCTTCACGCTCTTCATATACAAGAAAGTGCCAGAGACGAAGAACAAGACCATGGAAGAGATCAGCAGCATGTTCAGGCAAATATCATACCAATGAGAAGCGTAAATGGGTGAAACAGTTTTTGGAAGCGTAATCTGTATCGATACGAATGAGTGTGAATATGTTCTCTTCTCTCTATCTCTGTTGAGGAACTCGACGACTTGGCAAAAATGGCATGCTACTTTACGGTCTATCTCTGCGCGCTTCCAACAATCTATCTATGCGCTGTATTTACCGGATAGGCATTCGACACGAACATTTATGTGCAATTGCGATGTGTCTGTTACGATGAAACAGCAATAGTGCCAATTGAAAATCCGGGAATTTTAACTTTTTATTATTTAACTATTTAATTTTTTTAGATTTACTATTAGTTTTATTTTTTAATTTGGAAACTCCGTTTTAAAAACTTTAAATCGAGCAAACCATTTCTCGAATAGAGTGATGGGGTTGCGCGCGCGCAAATTATTTTATGCGTGCCTGGTAAACGTAATCTTACAATTAGTTCCTATAGCATAGCGAGAAAAAGTTATCACGAGAGCAAAATAGATAATCGAAACGGCATGAGACAGTGTGGAAAATACGATTCTTTCATCAAGTCTTCAATAAATGATCTGTTCCTGGCACTAGGAACAACGACGTACGCCATAATTACAATAATACGAATGATTACAACTCTAGTCATGAAAAGACCTATAGACCGAGTATAATGTTGAAAAAATCTTACACGTTGGCTGACTTCATTTTTATTATCGAATGTCCGATTCGTTTTACATCGACAAACTCTTATCGCTTCGCTAGGCGAATTTTTTATGCGGTATCGCGTCAAATTGTACATCATGTTTTAAAGAAATTAATAACAAGTATAATTGAGAGATTTCTTTCACAACACAATGGTTTTATAATAGCACGTGAGGAGTTTGTGTTCCTACTATCGAATAATTGCAATGCATCATTACAAAGGAACTTAAAACACTATTGTAAAAAAAAACAAAAAAATATAACAAAGAATTATAGTGTGAGTGAAGAGTATCAACTGCTTTTTTATGAAATAATTTATAGAAAAAATTTGAAGAATATTTTATTACGTAAACCGAAGCGCAAATTTTATTCGAACAAGAACGAGAAGAATGGTATTAGGATAATTGTAAATACACAGGTTGAAAGATTAGTATTGTATAGCCTAGAAAATAACTATATTTATGTATCCATGTAGAGTTGGATTAACGTTAAGAAGGAAATATCGATGTTATCACATTTAAAAAAAATTAGATTAATTTTAATGATAACATACAATATGATGTATATGTTAAACGCAACTCAGGAACTTATGCTGATCGTTATTTACTTTGTAAATTGCAGATGGATATAGTGTATATTTATTTTTACACTGTGTCTACATCTCTTAAAGAATACTCATTTGTAATACCTGTTTTAGTATTAACGCGATAATGGATCTGTCACAAAACAGTAAGTATCTGAGCTTGCTTGATAATGAACTAAACAATTCAAACATGGTCTTTATATATTGCATGCGAAATGTATTCAAAATGTTGTTTAAACAATTATATTATGTGAAATTTAATGTTTATTATATGTATGTTATCTAGCAGCAATCTAGGCGAATATTATCCATTTCAAATGTATTAATCAAATTATTCAATTTCTCTCAAAACTGTAAATAATGCAGTGTTCTCATATATCTTGGCTGATGGATTGCTAATTATTGTATAAGTTTTTGCAACGCAGTTATTAGCATTTAGTTTTAGACGATTCTTTTATAAATAATTCTATAAATTTTTGTAGTGTCAAGTATTCTGTATCAATCAAGAAAAATAACGCTGTATTGTGCAATTTGCTATTTAATACGCGAAAAGCTGCTCGCTATAATTATGAAAATTAATCAAAATTTAGTATTTCTATTCATCCGTATGCATACAAAATGTTGTGTTACAAAATTACAACACGTTTACAATGCGTTATAATTTGAATGATACTTGGATGCCGATATATATCGTCTAAATAAAAAAATGGGAATATTAAGAGCAAAACAGTTTTGTGTAGTTTTGTATTTTTTTGCATTTGAGCGAGGAATTGACTCTAGGAATATCATTTCGAAACCTAAAAACATAGATCAATCAATTAAATTAAACGTAAAAGTGTATAGAAAAAAATTGTATTTTAAAATTGATGCCACTTTACTCTTCAAGTCATACAGTCTACAAAATTGTGTTCTTCTAATATTCAGAAATTGTACATACTCTGAATTTACATATTTAAATTCGTTAAATTAATTCGTTTTACATCTTGCCATAATTATTTTGCGAAACAAAAAAACAACATGAATGGCTAATATCAATAATCGCAATAATAAGAAGAAACTTTTTTTTCTTCTATTTTTCAACTTCTGTTGTCAATTTATTGTTACGTGAAATATTTGTTTCATCGTTACCTCAGTTATAAGTAGGTGGCGATCTCTAACAGAATGTAACGTAAACTGTAACTAGGGAAGCACATGCGACGCGGCGCACGTCTCGCTTCATCTAAATAAATACGAAGTGGAGGCGCCGCATTCGCACACCTCGTGCGTGCTCGCTGGCGTTCGCTGTTTGTACGTGGCGCAAATTCCCTCTTGAGCGATAGGGCAAGGGTGGAAAAGCGAAAACCAAGGCGCGTTTCGTGTCTGTTTGTATTTCGCGTCGCGTTTGCTCGAAAAGTGGCCAAACGACGGCGGTGTTGCGTGTGTCGCTGCGAAACGCACACAGAGAGGATTAATGTGCGCGAGACGGGCGTGTGATACGCTCGTAGCGGCCGCAAATGCGCGCGGTAGCCACCGTGGCGACGGCGCCATCACCGCGTCCGTGGCAGGAAAATGTCAAACGTCGGCTTGTCATTCGACCAACTCGTGAACTGTGAGAACAGCGTCGACGCTGCTGCTATTGCTGCTGCTGCTGCTGCTGCTGCCGCCGCCGCCGCCACCGCCACCACCGCCACCGGCGCTGTCAGAGGCGATGGAATAAGAGTGGGAGGAGGAGAAAGAAGTTGTGTAGGTGGTAGTGGTGGCAGTGTCTCTCTTTTGACTAGTGGTGTCAGTTTTTGCGGTGGTGGCAGTAATAATATTGATAGTGTTGGCAACAACGGTGTTAGCGCTGTTACCGGCGGCGCCGTCGGTGGCGCCTTGGATGGCGTTCGCGACGTGACGTTGCTCGATGCCCGCGGCACGACGCCAGTCAACTCCCGCCGCGAGACAGCAGTATCACGCATTTGCGGCGGCGAACGTCGCTGCCGCATTTCCGTTGCCAACGCGTTAATCTCGGCGATAGACTCGACGACGCGTGCGTTCAACGGTAATGGTAACGGTGGTGGTGACGAAAACACTGCCGTGACAACGGACTGCTCCGAGTTCACGTTGAACAGCGCCGGGACAACAATTACGCCGGATGCCGGTAGCATCGACGTGAGAACAGTCGGCAGAAGCGGCACCAGCAGCAACGGAAACTGCAATACTGCCGCCGTCGTTATTGTTGACGCCGCATCGCCGTTGTTTCTCGACAACGACGTCGCCGTCGCTGCCGACGACGACGAGGACGACAAGGACGACCATCGCCACTACCGCAATCGCTTCAACATGGTCGCGGCGATGAACGAACATCTGTCCAGTGCGACAATAACGACGACGACGTCGTCATCATCACCACCGACAGCGGCAAACGCCGTCCGTAACACCGTCTCGATGTCGTCGTCGTCGTCGTCGTCATCGTCGTCCTCGGCGTCATCGGCTATGATGACGGCAACCACCACAATTGCCAGCAACAATCCACTTGTAACGACGATGACGATAAGCAACGCGATCACGGGAATGAGTAACACAACCATCGGAAGCAGTATCAGCAGCAGCAGCAGCAGCAGCAACAGTAACAACAATAACAACAGCAGCAGTAGCAGCAACAACAACGGCAACAGCTACGGTAATGCGCGCAATCAAGAATTTCAAGAAGTAGACGGCGATGATAGCAAGACGACCACCGGCGTCGGCATTCTTAGTTTTTCTTGCGAGTTTGATCATATGTACGCCAGTATGACGGATGGTGGAGCACCGGCTGCCGCCACGGCCACCGTGGCCACAGCTCTCGGGGTTAGCCCGTTGCGCGGCAACGAGCCCCGGCAAAATGATCTCACTGAGGTTAAGCACTTGAAGGAGTTGCTACTGCTACACCTGGACCTCATCCAGCAACAGTCAGAGCAGATTGTCACCAAGGACAAGCTACTCGCCGCATTGCGCCAGGAAAACGAGACGGTACATACGCATGGAAGATGTGCTTTGTTCTTGTGAAAATGCGCAAAACAAAAAACATTTTTTTACAACAAAAGGGAAATACATTCTGCGAAATAATAAATTGATTAATCTCAAAAAGTGTAAAGCTGCAATTTGAATCGTTCTTAGAAAGGGTTTTTATTTTAAAAACCAAAAAGAAAGTTTTATTGTATTGTTTATTTTTTTTAATACGTTTTTTTCGATGATTAATCTTACAACTCTGATGATGTGAATAATAGATAGGATGAAAAGAAAAAAAAAGCTATCTTTCTAGCGTATAGACAATTTAAACATATATTCGCAGAATGGAAAGCTAACTGGTTTTTCTTTTTAATTAATACACCTAACGTCTTTCAATTCTTTCGTAAGTCGTACGGCTGCATGGAAATTTAATTTAATGTAAAAAAGCTTTAGGTTTCGAAGTACATTTATTGTTCAACTTAAATCACACACTGTATATCCCGGCAATTGAAATGTGGTAAAATGAAGTGAAGTGAGTGGCAATGCGGCAGTGAGTGGCATCAAGCGAGCTTTCAATTTAGAATTCTATTCTATAAATCCTATCCCTGTTGTTTAATTTTCGCATGACAATCGTAATAATCGTATGTATTTTAAAAAGAATCTAAAATCGCCAAAATGCAAACTTTTCGATAAAATAAATTTTAATAAAATTCGACGTTTATATTACAAACTTTATTTTTAAATGCAAAATTATACGTAGGCAATGCAAGATGTATTTTCAAGAATTGAAGTTAAGTTGGTAATGAAATAAAATTGGCTCCAATTTGTAAAATGTCACTCAAGCCACCCTTTTGCAAGTACACTCGTCCGCTCGACTATCGTCACTTCATTTCAAAACTAAAATATCGAATCCACTTTAAAACACTACACACATTTATGCTTTCCATATTCTTTCTCTTTTTCTCTCGACTCGGTCACAATTTCGTACGTGAAGAGAAGCTAAACGATCGTAGACGGTAGATATAATTGCATAGACTTAGTGGTTGTCGTAGCCAGACATTGATCGTAATAAAAAAATGTGCCTTCCTAACTAACTTGAGTAACGCGCACGTGCTGCTAATCTCGTTCTCTTTTCACCACGGAATGCACGGATTCGACTTTGGCACCATTTTGTAAAAATGTACTGCGCGCACATGCCCATGGTTGTCAATCCTTTCCTCCTATCGCAGGCTCTCTAACCTAGTACACCATGCGGGGAACAGGTTGACCGTGAAGGTCAATTGCGCGGTGTCAACACGTGGTGGCGCTACTTCCGCATTGAGATCGTACGTCCGGAAAGAGAAACAGAGACGGGAAAGAGAGACGTTGCGTGTTCCCTCCACGAGAGACGACGTTCTTCTCTTGATGCTGCGTATTTTCGCGGGTTTGAAAATGACAGTTATGACGAGAGGAGAAACGCGTCTGCGTTGTGTGACGCAGTAGTTAATATCGCAGCCAAAAATGCAGTGTCGCTCGTTTTTGCTTTTCGAGATCGAGCCCAGTATGTAATATTCCTTCCAACGTTAACGGTATGAATGACAGAGCGCGGGTCCATTGAACTAACCTCCTTAATAACGAGCGATAGAATAATAACGACGACACTGTCCCGATGTGATTAGACATGATTTGCGAAGAAAGAAAGCCAGTGTATAGGCGCTTTACGAGGAGTGTAAATAGCATTTAAATCTCTCTGCATATAAATAGCAACCATTAATTGTCCTATCAATCATGAAATTGCGTTTCGTTTGTTACAGCTAAAACTGCGCTTAGAGCGTATGGAAAGGCGTGTGAGCCTTCAAAAATTGAGGTCTGAAGGCAGCGAGAATTCTACTAGTTCAGAGCATCTAGGCACCTGCTCGCCTACCAGTGTCAATTCGGTAAATGTACCATCGACCAGCGAGTTACACAGGAATGTTCAGTGCGATAACAGCAACACGTTGCACGAGACTTTTAAGATACGTCTAAACACTAGCGGTGGTATCACAACTGTCAAGCAGGAGCCACTCGATAATCAAATTAAGATTGAAGTGAAACAAGAGCCTAACGAAGCAAGATTTGAATGGGAAGAAAAAAAGAAGAGACGATCCGATCCAACCTCAGTGTCTACAGGTAGTAAAAAGAAAAGAGGAATATCCTGCTCCTCTGCTGTTAGTACTGATGGTATACAGGATAAAGTGTTATGTCCGACTTTGAACGAGACCAGTAGGAAGAGTGATAGGAAGAAATCTCTTGTGAAGAAAGAATCTTTTCTTACGACGGAAGAGCATTATTATACTGCTGTAGGAGATCCAAGTTATACATTAAATCTGAAACAGTCCAGTCCGGTAGAAACAAGTAGTTGCCTAGAAGTTCCAAATTGGAGAATAAAAGTGTACACGAGTTGTTATACGATGGAAGGAACTGAGAACTTGGATGATGAGATTTTTAACAAGAGACATTTGAAGTTGGAAAATGATGAGAGGAGAAGAAAACGATGGGATGTACAAAGGATAAGGTTTATAAAATATATTCACATATTCTTTCATCTAGCATATTAGAGAATTTGACTTATATTCTAACTTTTCGATAAATATTGTTAGGGAACAAAGGCATATAGAGAAGTTAAAACAAAGGCAAGAACGTCAAAATCATCAAGCCACATGTTATAATACCAATCATACCGGTCCTTGTCCCTCGTCCATGGAAGAAGAAACTATAACGTCCCTGTGGCCTGACATAGAACAAATTCAAAGTCTTCAAGTGGATTTTCATTTGCCAGTAACTGCATTTGGCGCTCCTATTCCTAGTTTTACTTCAAGGTAAGCAAATTTACTTCTCGAGAATACATCTTATAAGTATATTTATATGGCCATTTTATGTGTTATAGACAATATAAATTCTTTTCAGTGAATTTTCTTTACCCTGGTCGAATACAATGCGAATAAAATGTCGACGTCCTAAACGTTCAACAGGTAGAAGAAAAGCTACAGGTAGAAGAAAAGTCTAGGGAATGTAAAATTTTTATAAAAGTGAACAGAACTGATTTTATCAGTATCGTCGGTTTTAAACTCTTGAAAATACGATTGCTCCCTCTCACGCCATATTTGAATCAGCGTTCTTTATTACTGCGCGAAAATAGGGGCACCAAAGATATTTTTATTAACTTTTTAAACATCAATGTAGTATACATAGTTTATCTATTTTTTCTACATTTTTGTCGGTTAAGCAAATTCATCGTCAATATTTGTTTGATACATCTATTCTACATTTTGTACTCGGTGTTGGTCATTTTATTCATGTAACTATAAATATGTATTACACACAATATAACGAAACGATAGAGAGATCAGTGATATATATCAAACATTTTTCAACTCCAGGCCAGATTTTGTGTTTGATTTCGGTGAGTTGGCAATACTGATATTTGCAAAACTTTTTTTACAATTATATAAATTTATATTAATTTTATAATTTAATGTATTTTTTACTATTGTAAAAACACTAATGACACACACTTGATGAAAAAAATGTGTTGTAAAACAATGTTACTTAACGGAAGAATATAATCGATTTTTAAATCTTGTGTCGTTCTCTTTTGCGTTTTATAAATTCTGTATAATAGTTTGATAACAAAAGACATTACTGCAAACAGACTGTTTTTCGTTAAAACTTATTATATTTCGTGAAAACTTATAGTACAAACGTATCTATTGTACAGAGCATCTCGGAAAATGCGTGCTTCCCTCTTCTTATTGACAGATTCTCTGACCAGTTTGAAGTTGATGAATCCTTCATGAAAATTTTAAAGGCCTAATTGTGGAATAATTTTCGTAAGTTTTTAATATTAAGCTCTTTATAATCTCTCAAACAAGCTTACATTGTCTTTGCACCAATTATATTTGGTGTAAATAAAATTATAAGTATCAATATCGATTTCATGAATTTTTGTTTATAGTATTTTCTCAGATATTAATATTATCGTCTAACACACACAGCACACGCGCGTGCGCGCAGAGCAGCAGATACATACTGACATACATTCTGTAAGATAGATATTAACCGTCCGTAAAACTGCTAGAATTTCATAAACAAAATAACAGTCGATGCTACAAATGCGAATTTAATTGTCGATATCTTGTAAATAATGAATTTTTTCTGCTGTAGCGTTATCGATTGAGTTCTTGATCTATAAATATGTGCGATTGTCAGAGAATATTGTGATTATTTTCTAATATACATGTTGAGAGGGAATTTCATTATATCGACAAATGTACTGTATGTCGGAAGGTGTGAAATTTTAAGAGGGACGGAAGGAGACGATTAGGATCTCCAATATCACATCTGCCTTAAACGTCCTGCTATGTAATATAACATCGAGTACACATTTTAGAAATAAAAGACATTGGAATCAATAACTTTATTCGATGTACGCAAGATCCCGAATACAGGTATTTAGAAGAATAAAAAGATTATCCTTGAAGTTCAGACGTAGAATTTATTTTATTTCGATTGTGAATACTCGAGGAACAAGAAATTATCAAGATGCACGAAAAGGTATTCTTTTCTCGGGAGGTAAAATAAATTAGTTTTTAATGAATTACTCTAGTCGCGATGTAAAATTGATTCGGTTATTCTCTACCTCTGTGTCTCTCTCTGTACATAGGTTCATTAAGGAATCAATGTTGGTCGTGAAGCGTTTCAAGCAATGGCATATTATAAAAGCATCAAAATGATTAGAAGCACTTTCTATGCACGATAAACGGTCCTAATTCGTCGTACTCCTGCCTGGAGATCCACATCTGCTGGAACGTGCTCAGACTGGCTAGGATTGAGCCGCCGATCCAGACCGAGTACTTCCTTTCGGGCGGCGCGATTACTTTGATCTTCATGGTCGGCGGCGCGAGCGCAGTTATCTCCTTCTGCATACGATCGGCGATACCTGGATACATAGTGGTACCGCCCGAAAGTACCGAGTTGGCGTACAGATCCTTGCGGATGTCAACGTCGCACTTCATAATCGAGTTGTACGTCGTCTCGTGTATGCCGCAGGATTCCATGCCCAGGAAACTCGGTTGGAACATTGCTTCCGGACAGCGGAAGCGTTCGTTGCCGATGGTGATGACCTGGAATTAAACCGTTATCCCGTTACGTCTTGGTCCACTGACCACCAGGCAATCCATGACGAGCATCCTAACGTTCGTGCCGGCGCAAATACGCGATTAAATAATGAGCTAATGAGCGTACATCCTCTTCTCTTCGTTTTCGTCCAACTCACGAGGTGATGGTCAAGAAGAAGCAGCCTTGTTTTATGCCTTGATTGCGCAAGATGCGAATGTCGCGTCATAAACATCTTATCGTAAAAAACACATTACCTGGCCATCCGGCAATTCGTAGCTCTTTTCTAACGCAGTCGACGCGGCGGCCGTTGCCATTTCGTGTTGAAAGTCCAAAGCGACGTAGCACAACTTCTCCTTGATATCGCGTACAATTTCACGCTCGGCGGTGGTCGTAAAGGTATAGCCCCTCTCAGTTAGAATTTTCATCAAGTAATCCGTCAAGTCGCGGCCGGCCAGATCCAAACGTAAAATCGCATGAGGTAAGGCATATCCTAAAGAAAAATAGATATTAAGTATCGCGGTATCTATAATACCTCGATTATTTTTCTTCACGATCCAGGTGATCGCGAAGCGAGTAGAGAAGAAGTGTGTACCTTCGTAAATCGGTACTGTGTGAGACACCCCGTCGCCACTATCCAGCACAATGCCAGTTGTGCGCCCCGACGCGTACAGGGACAAGACAGCCTGAATGGCGACGTACATGGCCGGGGTATTGAAAGTTTCGAACATGATCTGCGTCATTTTTTCGCGATTGGCCTTGGGATTCAGAGGAGCTTCTGTCAGTAGAACGGGATGCTCCTCTGGCGCGACTCTCAGCTCATTGTAGAATGTATGATGCCAGATCTTCTCCATGTCGTCCCAATTGGTGACAATACCGTGCTCTATGGGATACTTGACAGTGAGGACTCCTCGTTTACTCTGCGCCTCGTCGCCTACATAGCTGTCCTTTTGTCCCATGCCCACCATGATTCCCTAAAACGAATATGCTCGATTACATAGTACAAGTGTACAAGCAAAAGTAAATGAGAGGAAGAGAGAGAAATGTTGAATCAGATTCGTCGGATCGATCCATCTTTCTTTCTTTACCTGATATCGAGGTCTCCCAACAATGGATGGAAACACAGCTCGAGGAGCGTCATCTCCGGCAAATCCGGCTTTGCACATTCCCGATCCATTGTCAATCACCAATGCGGCTACGTCGTCATCGCACATTTTGGAACAATATTATCTGTCAGGATTTTATAGCAAGATGTCGAATTTAGCAGCTAAATTATCGAAACAACCCGGGAGAGACTATATGCGTTTCTCATGTACTGACTTTTCGGATACTGCGTTTCTTCCTGGAAGGAAGAGTTGCTTTATATCAACTCCCCTCTTCTTGTGCACAGATCCATGCACACGCATATCCATCTGTTTTTTACAGAAGGAAGTATCGGTGGATTTTCACATCGGATTGGAGTACTCTTAGACTTGTTTTACGGTAACAGCAAAAAGAATACTTTCACCTACTACACATTCAAGATTTGCAAGTTGAGCGATTTTGGGAAAATTTATCCATAAATTTGTGAATTACATTGCGAATATATTTACAATCTTCCTAGAGAATATATATATATATATATATATATATATATATATATATGATCGGCAAATATAACGTAGCATAGTTTAGCTTTTGATATTAAAGATTACATGTGCGTAAATGATATAATAATGGTGTGAACGAAATTTGGAGATATACATTTTTCTCTCTTAGACATGTGGTATAAACGGAACACATACGAATGTTCCAATCGTAGTTTTATTTAACTATTAGATATTATGAAAACAAAATTAAACAGATATCGCGCGCGCGCGCGCACACACACACACACATGCACACACATACACACATTTCTGCATTTCTTACATTTTTTGAGTAAGAAACCTGCGATTTCTCAATAAAGAATTTAATTGCTGTTTAATGTATGCCAATTACGACTGGCACTTATTAACCGCTTGCAACGTTATCTCCATAATGCTGCATGCATCAAGATCTTATGGTAACTAGAGCATATATACTTCTTTGCATTCCTGCACATAGATTATTTGGCAAATCTTAAAAGTTTGAAAAAATGTTCCATTCACAAAAGCTGTCCACAGAGACAGACTTTAATTAATAATTTCAATTAAGAATTTGTTGAAATCTATTAAAACATTATTTCTAAATTACAGTTAAAAGAAGATTCTACAATTCCATTGAAGAACGTAACTGTAACAAGTTGAAAGATTCCTCTCCGTGTCACATAACGACTAAATTAAACAAAAAGCAAATGAAGTAACGAAAGCTCATAAGGTTAATAGGCCAAGATATCTTAATCGTTCTAAATTGCCTCCCACAAATGTGTGTGCATTTTCCTCAAAATAGATAGTCCAAGTACGATTTTATAAAACACACATTCAAAGAATATTTAAAAATTTTTTAATTAAAAGTATGCAATAGAGTAATTGTGTCGGCTCTTCAAATTTCACAATTTCTGTACATCTCATGTATCATCATGAGTTATTAAAACTTAAAACCAATTAATTTAAGATTGAGTACTACTTTTTATATGAGCGTGTTACACAAATAACTGAGCTGCAATTATTGTATTTCTCACTTGCGGATAAATGTAACAAGCTTTATTCTTTTAAGGATATTTTACAAACCGACGCGCATTACAGAGAGTCACTGTTCCGTAGACTGATCACTTACCAGAGCGTCCTTATAATCGCCGTATTACGCTCATTAATTAACTGCTCATATAATGATATTAATTAGGCTGTGAAATTAAGTACCTACTTCGGTTTCAAGTTTTTGCACAAGTCATTCTTGATATTTTTAATGGCATAGTGCTATATAGTGCGACATAATTTAAAAAAGGCCACGTATATAAACAATCGTACTTGCGCGATCAATATTATATGAAATACATGATTAAAATCAGATAAGCAATATCCTTTTACAATTATATACATTTATATACACACACATGCATATGCATATACACGTCCGATTAAAGAGAAATGCATGTCGGAACGAGTGAAGAAATCAATTGCAACACTAAATATTATCAAACTTTATACAATAGTTAAAGAAACAATAATGACTTGGGAGGGAGGGAGGGGAGGGGGAAACTTTTTGCATCACACACATGACGTTTAAATTATTCAACTTTACACAAGTCTTTACACAAATTAATGAGCAAGACAAGAATAAACATTTCTTTCTTCTCTTTTTTTCGACTGAACTTGCATCTCTGTGAGGATACATCTATTCCGACATGCACTTCTATGCCAGTAAATATCCATTTCATTTTACTTTTATACAAATACTGCGCAAAAAGCAGTACATTTTTGAGATATGGACTTTCCTTTTAAAACAAGTAGACTTTGTAATAAGAATAAATTAAAAAGTATTAATTGCCAACATTATCATTATCATAACAGTCTTAAAAATTCTACTTATCCCAGAGACCGACTTCTTTCATACGCGTTTGAAAATATCTTTCCAAGGTATTGGCACATCGGTAATATTCAGTGTCAGGACTATTGTACAACCTACAGTTAGTGAAGATCCGCAACATATCTGCCATAAATAATCTCTTAGTCACGTAGTACCCCGCATTTAAACGATCCTGCATGGTCTTGAGATCTGCAATAAATATAAATATATAATATATATATTTTTTTTAATTTTTTAGTTTGTCGATTCTGTGGATCGGTGCTCGGTTTTTTACGCTACGATATTTGCAAGCACAACATACATGTACACACTTGAATTAATCAAATGTATGAACATCTCTCAAACTCACCCATAGGATATTTTATATGATCGTAGTAATCGGGAACCTCATTCTTGTCTACGGGTTTCAAGAAAGGCCACGCAGCTGTGCTGTGTTTCTTCACACTGTTCAGAACACTATTCAACGTATTGTACAAAGAGTTTGACATATCTAGGCTCGTGTCCATCAGTTCCGAACCTTGTGTTCCTTTCGCCACACCTCTCGTTCTCGTTTGAGCGGAACTCTTCCATCCAGTTTCATGAATGCCTGGAATGGATTCGATGGGTATTCCACGTACACCTTCTTTGAAACAAGTTAAGCCTGGATGCGCTTTCTGTATTTCCTGTTGTCTTTGGTGAATCAGCTTCTTAACAATTTCCTTCTGCTTTCTAATGACCGCCGTAAATTCGGTATATACAATTTTCGGATTCAGCTCACAATGCATCAATGTCGCTCCCACGTAATACTTGATGTATCCTTGGTGTACCGATTTCGGCAGTTTTATATCTTTACTAAATCCCTGCTTCTTAAAATATCCAATAGCAAAGTCGTCCGCAAATGTGAGAAAATGCAATATGTTGTTTTTGATATGATAATCTTTCAACATGTTCATTAAGTGCGTTCCGTAGCCTTTTACTTGCTCGTGACTCGTAACGGCACAAAACACTATCTCGGTGAAACCTTGACTCGGAAACATGCAGAAGCAGATACCACCAATTGGTCGGCCATCCTTTATCAAGGCTAGCGTTTTGTGTTTTCTGTAGGACAGGGGGGGGTGGAGGGGGGAGGAAAAAAACATTAGATGACTATGTAAACTTACATATATCCGACATATCGATGCATCGTACGCTACCTTGTACATTGTATGCTACTTACGGATCAAAAACGAGCTGAGTAATGTATTCTTTGGGCGTTCTAGGCAATTGATGGCTAAATACATCTTGCAATCCTATCAGCCAAAGCATAGTTTGCTTAGACACAGGTCGTGTAAGGCTATTTCCCACGACGTGAAACTCTATTATCTTTTTACTTTCCTCCATTTTAGCGGTTTCATCTCGTGGAAGATTCGGTGGAAATACCGCATCAGAACTGGACTTGTAATTAGTATCATTGATAGATAAAACAATTTCAGCGATGGTTTCATTTGGCAAATCCTCAAATGTCTCTTCAGTTTTGCGCCTCTTCGTGTCAAGACGCCCTTCAGAGTTGGGACGTTTCTCTTGAATTTTCTTTATACCAGGACTGATATTTATCGTTGTAAAATTATCTCTTTCATTCGGAGTAATTGTAACTTTCTCGAATTCTCCTGTTTTTCTGGCTTGATGCCCCTTTGACTCCAAAGCAGCTTGCATATGAGAGGGTGGTGGCTGTTTAAAATCCGGATCCCAAATAGGTGAACTTTCAGAGTAAATCTCCGCTTCCAATGATTCAAGAAACCTTGAATATAGTCGATAAATAAATACGCATTAATATTAATTAATCATTCGACATAAATGTGAAAAAAGCACATGTAAATTTGTAATTTCTATTTCTACAAACATACTTGGGAAAGTGTGTTAAAACTAAAACTCTCTTCTCCGGTGTTATTTTATCTCTCTCACTGTGACACTTGTCCATTAATTGCCTAGAAACCGGTCTGAACACAGCTTGTAACAGGGTTCTTCCAAAGACTAAAGGAGTATCATGATGCGGTAAGGAATCGCAAAATGCAGGCACATGGCAGAAGACAAGCCAACGAGTATAATTAATTTTATAAGCGGGAGCTTCATCCGCACTAATCGTCGTTCGTCTAACACTGGGTGCATCAAAGTTCCAATAATTCAGGCAGTGCAGAAACATCTTGGCCATATCGCACATAACGTGCCACTCTCTCGGCGGCAAATGACTGTATTTATATAAAACAAAATTCATCACTGCTTTCGCTATGCTAGGTCTTTCGAACGGTGGTTGTCCCAATGGGCCTTGTACAGTCGGTTTTACCATAGACAAAATACATTTTCTCAACAGTCTATATAAATAGAAATATACTTTTTTAGTATCAGGATCCTCCTCTCTGTGTATACACATAAAAATATTGTCCGCATCAATGGCCATTCCTAATAATCTATTAATTTCTTCATCAGAATTAATCGGTAGATGCGTGATGTGATTTTTTAAAGAATGAGTACATATTTTGCATGGATCGTAAAAGTTTATTACAGGCTGCTGAGTATCGGCCTTTGGTGATTTTATGATTGGCTGTACACTTTTCCAGCAGTTACATTCACATTCTTCCATTTGGCAAGCGCTGTAGCTTGCAAGTTTCAATAATTTCTTGACTTGTGGCCAATTGTACATTTGCTGCTTGCGTTGCTGTATTCTTTGGAGATTATTTGGTTTACCTTGATTTTGCGGCTTAGTTGCATTCGGATCTTTAACATTACTTTCCTGTTGCAAGGTACTGGAAACAGGTTGCCCATTCTCTTCCGAAGAAGCTAGTATTGTATGAGAACTTACGTCCTCAGATGCCATGCTTGGAAAAATCATTACAATATTAAAATTACAAGACTGCAGTTCGCATACCTAAATCAATCTAATTGTATTATTTAACAACATAACTAATATAACAATTCTTTAATGCAAATTACTATGTTTCTCTTTAGCAACTTACGTCAAAAGTTGTACTATACAAGCAAATTGAATTGCAACTCAATGTGAATCCAGCGAATTGTTGTTTTATTTTCAATCGTTGTTTCGAGTGTTCGATAATAATATTTTGATCTCAAAGGAAACGATTACAATACTTGGAGAGCACTTGTTGCGTAGTTAAAATCAGGGTTCTTCACAATTCTCTATTTTTACTTATTATTAATGTTGATTCAGGAAACGATTTTTTTGACAGATTAGGTTATGTCAATTCTTTATATCTGTAAATTCCTACGTTGTCCTACGTGATCCTACGAAATGCAAGTGACGTGAGTAAAGTGCGTGAAGTGACGTGATCAGCAGTTGTCGCCCTTTACTAAATCGTTAGGGAATTTTGTCTAGAGTCTTTTTCACGCGTTGCCTTTTTTCAAGGATGTTCATTAACAGGGGGTGTTTACGATAATTCAAGTTCGAGTTAGTTTCACTAGGACCGACAATGAGATATACATAACCATCTAGAACCTTTATGATTCATGACAACTCGACGCTGTCTTGTATTGCTTGAGTTAAATTCATTGAATTTGTTGAGTTTAATAAATATAATTATATACATATATATATAATTATATCTATTAAAGAGGTATACCAACATACATACCAACATTATTTGTTTCTTTCATAGACTGATTTGCAGTTGACATTTTTTTATTACAATAAAATTTGCTCTATAAACTCAACAAATTCAATTAATTTAACTCAAGCAATACAAGACAGCGTCGAGTTGTCATAAATCATAAAGATTCTAGATGGTTATGTCTATCTCATTTTTCGGTCCTAGTGAAACTAACTCGAACTTGAATTATCGTAAACAGCCCTTGTGTCCCATAGAGCCGTAATTCCATGAAATTTTCGTAAAAGTTACTACAAGTTACTAGTTATTACTAGTAATGCTTTTTCTAATTTTATTTATTTAACTAAATTTGACGATTTAATTAAAACTTTTGTTAAAATTATAATATATTCTGTAGTTTTCTTATGAATAAAATACAAATAAATAATTATAACCTGTTAAATAAAAAATAGTACTACCGTTACGTCTGTATTTACGGCTCCATGGGACACAAGGAGATAAAAACACACGTAACGTTACGGACGAAATACCTAATAACTTTTGCGGACTTCCGGTGCGGATTACGGATTACGGGCTGTATGTGACGGCACCCTTACGGACGAAATACCTAGTAACTTTTGCGGACTTCTGATGCGGATTACGGATTACGGGCTGTATGTGACGGCACCCTAATAGCGTTTTCGAATAAACGGGGTTTGAACGATCTAGGGTTGATCAATCACTATTTTACTATAAATGCAAGTCTTTCATTGGTGGAGAGGTTGCAATGACGTCATTAACCAATCTTGGGTCGTTCAAATCCTGTATAATCGAAAACGCTATAAGCCTATAAGCACTACAGAGTAGTGACAAAAATATGTTATATTGGCAGCGCTCGATTTCGCATTCTCGTTGGTTGGTACTATTCGTACGTTTACAAGTTTTGATTTCGAAGATACAAGTAAAGAACGACTTTTAAAACTCGTGTGTATCAAGTTTAGAAATTAGATTTCTAGTGCTGCGAGTCTATAATTTGTATGGTACGTTGCATTACATGTCGCTCGCTGAAACAAATGATAAGTGACGTTAGATGAAAATAATTTATTAACAATAAACTTAATACGTTGAAATAATTATAAAACAAAGATTTGTAATTACTTCGTCCGTGTCAACGATTTGTGTTTTTTACACAATTGTGTCGCATATCTCAAACTTCAAGCGATGGAAAAATATTTATTTGGCAAATTATATTTACCTAATAATAATCTACAATAATTTTAAATATATATAAATTTCTCGCTTTTTACAAATCTTGTCATTGTATGGTTTAATTTTACTACAAGATGTATGTGAGGAAAGGTTCTCTCTGTTCTTCCGTGCTTGATACCTTTTGCTGTAAAAAAAGAATAGGAGCTTCTTTTTATCACTCATTATTTATTCATAGGTCATGGGCAATTACGCAAGCAAGTTATTTCATAACGAAAATCAAAAAGGAAGTAATGAAATAAGGATCACACAGCAGGTTATTATACAGGACAACAGCATGTGCACATCAATATTACCTGAACGAAAAGTGTTGATTGATCCACGTTCAATTTCAGCAGGAATTACAAGGACTCCCATTGAGGTAAAGTTTTAGTAATAATTTTATATTAAGTGTGAAAGATTTTATGTATGGATTATTTACTGTTTTAACTATTTACATATTTTTTATTTTATTAAAAGAAAAAAATATCTTTTTAATACACTGCTTAATATTTAAATAGGTTAAATGCACTCCAGTTGGAGTAATCAAAAAAGCACCTAGTGCAATCCCCAAGTATTTGCAGAAAAAGCAATTCTTGGAAACTGACATAGATGTAGTAATGCCACCACTAACACCGAAGAAACATTCACCAAAATTAACAGATATATGTCAATCATCAGAATCTGTATGTCATTTAATATTTTATTTGTGTCACTTTTTTTCTTATATATATTCTATAGATGAAACTCGATTAGATTTCTGAAGTTTTATTATCTCTATACTACATAATGTTCTTTTTAACGTGTTAAATCTATATTTTATACATGTATAAATAATTAATCTTACACACAAATGTACTTTACTTGCCTGAAGAAGAAAGTTTTATTTTTATTCATATTTTTTGCAGGATAAATCGCAAAATTATTCAACACCAGATGTTAGTGTTTTAAAGAATTCAAAACCAATTCAAACATCAATAGAACGTTACCAAATTTTGGGATTAGATCCTAGATCTCCAGCTGCAGATTTCGATAGAACTCCTATTTTAATACCAAAGTCTTTCGCATCAATGAAGACACGATCTCAGGAAAATTTGAGTCGCAGAGGCAGTTATGAAATGGACATTTACAATCCGAGAAACTCCTATCAGAATATCAATACATCATTTAGTATTCCAGAAATACAATCATTGTCCGATGTAACTTCAGAAGGTTTAGAAGGTTGGAAAAAATTAGACACAGAAAAACCAAACGACTCACATATATCTAACTTATGCCAAGCTAATTCCTATTCAAGTACTTCCGAAAGTGAGAAAGAAGTTACAGTTGTTAAAAATCCAAAATTTGAAAATGCAAAGGAAAAACCATTAACTTCAGAACAAACAATTGTGAATAATGAGAAAGAAGACGAAGATGATGCGGACAAACTGGACGATTGCAAAGATATTGACCACAGTACGAAGATAATACAGATCAACGACAATAAGATCAAAGTATGGCACGACTCGGAGGAAAACGTATCAGACAAACAGCAGGAGAAAGATTTTGTAGAAAAGTTATTACAACGAAAGACTTCTTTAAGAGAAGATGTAATCATAACTTTTGACGAATGTATGACTAATACCTCTTTATTCAAAACAACAAAAGTAAAAGGAGATTGTCAGACGAAGGAAGATGCAGAAGGAAAAAAGAAGAAGAGTATAAAAGTAGATGTTAAATCTGTATCATGCGAAAGAAAAACGTTTACTCCTGAGAATAAACACGAAACGCTTAAGGTAATTTAAGTTATGATATCATACGTACAATACAATTGCAAAATTTAATTATTTTTCTTTCAGAATCGAACACCTCTCGGCAATCGATCTAACGATGGTCAAATACAAAAAATACCATCAAAATCGCCGCAATTACAATTATTGAGAAATAAGACTGCATCCACTAGAATAGAGCAAGAGAATACACCACCATGCAAGAAATATAACGCAAAGGGTAAATGTGAAATTCAATGGGATCCAAATTCTACGGTTTTCATTTAAGTGCACAAATTTATTTCAAGATTAAATTTGATTTTAGGACAAAAAGGGCGATACAACTGAACTCATTTGAATCGTAAGAAAAAAATGCACCTATATATCTTTAGTTTAAAATAAAAAATTGTAAGGAAGTGAAATTAAGATGTACATAATCTTATTTTTGTGACACACTTCAAGTGTCGCTTATCGAAGTATCACGTTTCTCCAATGCTGTACGAATTTGAGATTTTGCCATCCGAATCAAAAACTGAAGATTTGTGCTGGGTTGAATCAAGTTCGTTACACTGAAAAATACATTTAAGCAGATTAGAGTGCTATACGCTACTTTCAAATTATCTGTATTATGTATAAGTTATCTCAAAAAGAGTGCTGTCATCATTTTCAGTCTTTTTCTTTTCTCTTTAATTTATGTTGTACAAGTGATTTTTCAATAACTTTGTCGTCATATAAGAAAATACCAGTTAAAGTAGAACGCACTCGCACTACACTTCGAACAACGGCCTCGGAAAGTTTCAAGATATCCTATATATACAAGCACGAGTATACTTACTTTGGATTTTTTACAACTATCTTCTTTTTTTCATTATTAGACGTTTCAAACTTGACTGTAATTCCACTCTCTATCTTCTTTACATTACAAAATACATTCGTTTTCTCAGTGGAATTTAACTTTGCTATATTTCTGGTATCTATAAGTTGCGGTCGTATAATTTTAACTTTTACATTATCGTCGATAGATCGCCCTTTGTAATTTTTTCTCTTTCGCATGTTTGACGCTGGATGTTTATTCGACTGTTGTATCACTGTTTCAGTCAGTTGATACGGTGTTGACAACGATTTCGAACCAGATGCAGCGCCGCTACTACAATTATCACTATTCCAGTTTATCGGTAAACTAGGTTCAGATACAAATCTTGGATCTATATTCTGCGGTATCCCATTACAAATAGAGGACAGTGTTTCTCCAGGATAACAATGTTTAAGTCGTCCTTCAGTAAGGGGCAAAGCAGGATTCTTCCTTTTTCTACGATACTGTTCTCTGAAATTAAATATTTACCACATGAAACCATTATAATATCCATAATTTTAATTATATATTTATCGCTTATATATTTATCGTTTGTAAAATTTATACAATAAATAGTATACGTTTAATATCACACATACCTTGGAACAAATTTGTCTACTACTGGGTTCGTTAAATCTTGTTGATTTCTTTTTATCCGTGTCGCTACATCTTTTCGGCGTTGCGTAAGTTTTGCTCTGGTTTCTGCCAGAGTTTCTAATTCAGGAGCATAGAAAACATGCAGAATTCCTCCAAAAAAGTTCTTATCGTCAATCAAACGTTTCGCCACTCTGTTTAGAAAATGTTCGATCAGTTAGAATCGTTACAACAGTTCCCTTTTTCTTTCTTTTCTTTTTTTCCCCCCTTCAAAAAACAAAATCTACCTTGCACTTTGAATATACGCATAATGTATATGGTATGTTTCCGTAAATTCTTCCGAAGGATATTCAGTCACCAACTGAATCGCTTTCACATCTCCATACGGATAGACAAGTTTTCCTATTTCTTCTCCTAATTGTAATTTTGGTACTCCACATATCAGTAAATGCTGCGATTCATCATTAATCGTATAAACCTGTTACACAGAGCTGGTGCATCAAGGAAATATTTGGCAAACATCGACTTTTAATACACAGTTTCAATCATCAAATTATTTAACCATAATTCAAATAATTCAAATAATTCAAAAAATTATTTTTAAACACAAGCCAATCTTTAAAAGAAATACTTTTCACTCCAACTTGATTTTGAAACTATTTCAATCGTTGCAAATAATATTATTGCGCTTTCCGCAATCGACACTACACTCATAACAAGACATTTCGTAGCAACGTATCAATTTTAGTAATTTCCGTAAAAGAAAAATTAGTTTCTCTCCTTAAAACTATGCAATTATTATCCTTGTAAGTAAACGAGTACACTTCCCTATTAAGCCTAACACATCACAGATTAAAATTCTAGGGCAAATAAAAATAAATATTCAATCATAGAGTAGGATACAAGTCTCGAACGCTACCTTGACTGCTGTCAATCTTTTTCCTCGTCTATACAGCGGTCGAGTTTGACACAACTTTTGCTGTACATGGTGCGGCATGTGCACTACCATGTGTTTTTTCTCAGCCATATAGTACAATATTTTCTTTACTCGTTTAGAGGCGTTTAACAAGAATCGTTCAACAAGACGACAAGCCTGTTAAAAACAGATAAAACAGATAAATAAGTAAAAATTATCGAACCACGTTTACTTGATCTTTTCTTTCTACGAATGCAACAATTGACTATTTTCCTTCACAACAATAAAATTTAAACATACATTTTTAAACATGCACAACACAACAAAATTTAAAGATACACAACAAAAGACATCGCATTGAAAAACATTATTCTCAGCGTTTTGGAATCGGCTGCAAGGTTAGCGATTAGGTTGGAGCACGGTGTAAAGGCCATCACACACAAAATGACATAACTGCATATGCATAGCATAAGACCGTCTCGACCAATGAGCATGTTGTGTAAATCAATATGGCGCCTTTATGCTAGATGTTCATTGGTCGAGACGGCTTATGCTATGCATATGCAGTTATGTCATTTTGTGTATGATGGTCTTAAGAATATAAGGTGATTTCACGACCATTGTATTCTATCAAAAAATACTGTGATCAAGATGCCAAGTTTAAGGCATGTCACACAAGAGGTCTGTTTTTTATAGCTGAACTGGCTGCACTAGTTCAGAGTTTATCTTTCTCCTTCCAATGTGGAGGGAAAAAGATAAACTCTGAACTAGTACAGCCATGGACATAGGAATATAGGGACGGAGCGTAAACTTGGGGTGCGTTCCACTTAACGCCCGCAACGCTTCTAGAATCATTTTATCCTCGTTTAACTTTCAATGAAAAACAAGGATAAAATGATCCTAGGAGCGTTGCGGGCGTTAAGTGGAACGCATCCTTGGTTGATAGACGAGAGGAGTGAAGCCAAAATGCGGGGGGGTCCGCCATGATACTGTGCCTGAATCTGATTGGTTATCGTTATACGTATGCTGTTGTTATTATACACTAGGGGTGTTTACGATAATTCAAGTTCAAGTTAGTTTTACTAGGACCGAAAAATGAGATAGACATAATCATCTAGAACCTTTATGATTTATGACAACTCGACGCTGTCTTGTATTGCTTGAGTTAAATTCATTGAATTTGTTGAGTTTATAGAGCAAATTTTATTGTAATAAAAAAATGTCAACTGCAAATCAGTCTATGAAAGAAACAAATAATGTTGGTATGTATGTTGGTATACCTCTTTAATAGATATAATTATATATATATGTATATAATTATATTTATTAAACTTAACAAATTCAATGAATTTAACTCAAGTAATACAAGACAGCATCGAGTTGTCATGAATCATAAAGGTTCTAGATGGTTATGTATATCTCATTTTTCGGTCCTAGTAAAACTAACTCGAACTTGAATTATCGTAAACACCCAATAGAAGATATGGATATGTAAGATATTTTTACGGCCGACCGACAGACGGCGCCCATAAGGCACCAGGCAATACATTGAATCGCAATACATCGATTCTCGAATAATCGAAGTAGCTAATCGATCCATGCGCGCGCTACCGGACCGACGAAGGTTCGAGATTGTTCTGGAATCTTCAGGATCCACAAGATTATCCGGAGCGAAATCCGGAGAGACACTCTGTACAGAACCGGCATTAAGATTAGTCGCGTTTTTTAGTCGAATAAGAGTCGTCGAATAAGCCGTGAATTTAGTTCTAGTCGAATCGAGATATCGAACAGTATTACGTGTATTAAGCCTTGTGTCCACGATGCTAGAACTCAATCCGAGATCTCGGTCCGAGTCCTCGAACAATAATATTTATACTTGGCTGAATATAGTTAGCGTTGTAATCGAGTTACGATTCTTTACGATGATTTTCTGATCTATGTTATATTGCCAAGTTGGTTTATAGATATCATCAAGTGATGCACCGCTTGATTTCGAATCTTTTATTTTATTTAGATGGTCCAGATATTGTGATCTTAAATTATTAATTTCTTTTTTGCAATTTCAGTTGTTAGTGGTTGTCCTGTTAATTCTTTGTACTAATTACAGATTATCTGTAAAGCTTGATCTCGTTTCATACGATTATGATAATCAACACTTTTTGTAACATATAAACAAGAATGTTGTTGATATAACATTAATAAAATTTTAACATTTTCTTTATTATCCATTTTTTATTATAAAAGAAGTTTTTTCTGAAAATCAATTTTATATATTATTATACTTTTCTTGAAAAATAATATGTATATATAGTTATAATATATTTTTTAATGTCTAATTTAATCTGACATTAAAACTAATAATAACTACTTATGTAAATCTTATTAATTATTAATCTTATTAATTTATTTTATTTAAGAATTATATTTCTCTTATTTTTTCAATTCTATAATTACTTACTAAAATATTATTTATATTGTTCACAGTATCTCGTATCACTATAAGTATCATATTTTGTCTTGACAGATAGTAAAAGAAACTAGTAAAATCTAATAACTCGCAATAACTTGTACCAAAAAATGGGACGCAACGCATTTTTTCGTTTGAGCTTCTTATTCGAGTTTTGCATCCAAATGCAGTGTGTACATGATCCGAGTTCTAGTAACTTTCCCTCAGTCCGAGATCTCGGACCGAGTTCTAGTATCGTGGACACAAGGCTTTAAGGCTACAGAATAAAGGCCATTTATATTTCCAGTAAAGAAGTGATTTATTTAAGCACCTCGATTACACTAATAAAAACAGTCGGTAGCCAATCGGAGCACGTAGTTTGAACAATTACGCTCGCAACGGACATTTTGAACGAGTGAACTCGGTGCTCCGACCGTTACAAGTTATTTCTTAAAGAACTAGTCGGATTTTGTCCAGCCGTTTCGTGCCGTTTGTCGTCGAGTAAAACTACTCGGAGAACTTTCAGATAGATGTGAATAGAAAAGGATAGATGATGAATCTCTAAAGCACATCTATATATAATTATAGTTCTAAATAATACAAAATTTTTAAAATAAAACTTTTAACATTGTGTATAAAAATATATATTACTGACAAAATATTTTTTAATTTTTTTATAACAAATTATTCTTAGTTAAATTTGCAGAAAAAATAATTAATAATGTATTCCAGTCTTTATAGAAAATTAAGTTTTTTAAGAAAATGAATATTTATAATTAAGTTCCGCAGGACAATAAAATTTTAATAAAATTTATATATATATATTTAAAGTTTCTCAACACGTAGCCACCTAGCGGTTCAATGTGGAACAATGACAGGAAAATCACAAAAATTTGTTGCCGTGAAATCACCTTATATTCTTACACCGTGGTACAACTCCAAGGTCTATAGAGAGAAGGTTACCTCACGCGCAAAGAGGAACGAGCGGCAAGAGGGGCAAATGCTGAGCGGGGCGAGCGGCAAGAGGGGCAATGATGATCTCATCGACAAACAGTAGCTGTCTTTCTCGCACGCTTTAGTGTTTTCTCTCTCGCTCCTTTAATATAGAAATGCTTTGAGTTTTTATCGAAAAAATACTTTTATTTTGTAAAATATTTATAGCACTGGAAATTGCGTAATAATAATTGAAAAGTAAATTAGAAAGGCGCTATAAATTACATATATTGCAAATTAAAGCGCTAGATATTTAACGTTTATAATGTTAAATATCGCTGCAACAGATGCATTTGTAATACAAATTGCTTTGTACTCGTATTTAGACTATAATATTAATAAAAATAAAATATAATTTGGGGATATACATAAAAAACATCATTTGTAAAGTAGTAAAATAAAAGAAAAAATAGTACATATTTAAAAATTATTTTTAAAATAATATTTACTGTTTATATGCATTATTTACAAAAGAAATACTATAAAGAAATTTATTTTTATATTTAATTGTGAAAACCTCAAAAATTGTCAAGAAATTGTAACTGAAATTCATAAATGTAAGTACAATTCTAGGGTAATATAAAAAGCATCATACACAAATTTATTATGATACAAATTTAAATAATGAAATTGTAATATATGTTTCAACATTGCAAATGTGAATATTTTATATGATAAAATTTACAGTGTTAACAATTTTCAAATATTTGCTAATGAAATATTATTGAAATGTTTCTGTTGAAATCTTAAAAATAATTCTTTAAAACAAATATGATGGGGTATATATTAGAGATCATTAAATATGCGGCAACATTGTAATTATAAAAATTTTATAAGTATCTATAATAAAAATTAAGTATAATAAATATAATAAGTATACAAGTATAATAATAAAATTTTTATAAGTATCTATAATAATAAAAATACATATTTGTTGTATTAATCTGTTAATTGCGTTAAATTAATTAATAATTTTTTATATTTATTGGCGACTCTTCTTTGATTATCTTCAGTTTTCCTCTTATTACCTACGTGCTTGCGACTTTTTTTTGGCAGTATTATAAAATTTAATGCGTACATAAGTTTTTTGGAGAATAAATACAAGCGAGTGACAGAGTTAGAAACAGTTAGAAAAGGAAGAACTTTGAAAGAAAGAGACAGCTACTGTTTGTCGATGAGATCATCATGCTCTCCCCTTTCTTCATCGCCCCTCGCCCCAAGCTGTTTCTAGCTCCTTCCATACTTTATCGTCCCTCGCCCACAACCGGTTTTCCTGAGGTAACCTTCTCTCTATAGATCTTGGGTACAACTCAAGATCGCATCGTAGCACTATCGTCCGCCATCTTGGAAAGATTGCTCAACAGTTGCGAACAGTTGGGGCCATTTCACAATGCGTCGCAAGTGTCCCGTCGTCATTCGCGAATGCCCCGTCTTAAGCCTTGTGTCCACGATACTAGAACTCGGTCCGAGATCTCGGACTGAGGAAAAGTTACTAGAACTCGGATCATGTACACACTGAATTTGGATGCAAAACTCGAATAAGAAGCTCAAACGAAAAAATGCGTTGCGTCCCATTTTTCGGTACGAGTTATGCGAGTTATTAGATTTTACTAGTTTTTTTTACTATCTGTCAAGACAAAATATGATACTTATAGTGATACGAGATACTGTGAACAATATAAATAATATTTTAGTAAGTAATTATAGAATTGAAAAAATAAGAGAAATATAATTCTTAAATAAAATAAATTAATAAGATTAATAATTAATAAGATTTACATAAGTAGTTATTATTAGTTTTAATGCAGATTAAATTAGACATTAAAAATATATTATAACCTATATATACATATTATTTTTCAAGAAAAGTATAATAATATATAAAATTGATTTTCAGAAAAAACTTCTTTTATAATAAAAAATGGATAATAAGGAAAATGTTAAAATTTTATTAATGTTATATCAACAACATTCATGTTTATATGTTACAAAAAGTGTTGATTATCATAATTGTATGAAACAAGATCAAGCTTTACAGATAATCTGTAATCAGTACAAAGAATTAACAGGACAACCACTAACAACTGAAATT